TGGCAAGGGGCGGCGTTTGGGTCCTGGCCTGGGTTCTCCCCTGCTGCGGGCTGATGCAGCATCTCTCTGCTGGCCCGGACTGTGCAGCCGCAGTGCAGACAGCTGTGGTGGAAGAGTCTCTTTGCCCCAGCGGGACAGGACTGGCAGGCTCCTTTGCACTGTGGCCACTTGGTTCAGAGGCACTTTGGTGCCAGCAGGCTCTAGTCTCCCGTCCGTGCCGTTTGCGGGATGTCATTTCTCGGCGAAGCGCAGCGCTCTCTGCCCCAGCTGGTGAGTCCTGGTGGGGTCACAGCAGACAGCTGCAGACTATACTAAGTCCCTGCCTGTTGGTATGAGAGAAGGCAGCAGCAGCTCCCTCCACCGCCCCCTGACCTGTTCTCATCTGCCACCCCCCAGTTGGAGCCCCCTCAGGTGTTTCCATGTCCTGGGAGCCTGACGCCAACATTAGCGCGTCAGTCCCGCCTCAGCCCTCCAATCCGCACGTGTCTCTTCTCTTAGCAAAGTGAAGCCACCGCTGCAGAGCCTGGAACAATCCAGCCTGCTCGCCGCCTGCTTCTCCAGCGTCTTCTCCCTGCCTCCAGCAGAGACCGTGCAGGGCGAGGAGGCTGCTCTCTACACCAAGGTAAGCCCCAAACCGGCCACGCAGAGCCGCCCCAAACCAAGTGGGAATCCTGCCGGTCGCTCGTGTACCTGTCCCCTGGGTAACCTGGCACTGGCACATGAGTGTAATAATCACAGCTCCTCGGCAGGACTTCAGCTCAGGACCTGCAGTACCAAAGCACAGGCCCCACCGCTGCAGATAAAGGAGTAACTCCCTCATAGGGTAGCAGTAGTAGGCATTTCTCCTTCACATGCACCGACAATTAGTGGGGAACAGACACTCCCTTCACAATCACATTCATCCCCAGTGCGTGGCTGGGGGCACAGGCCTGCGATCGGCTGCTTCAGACGCACACAGGCCAGGGGAACCGAAGCTTGGCTGGAAATCTCCCCTCCAAATGTGCAGTCCTTTCTGACTCTTCCAGTGGGTTAGACTGCATGCAGTGGCCTTTCTGGGGACAGCAAAGGCAGGTGGTGTCCTGTTGCCAGGAGGAGTTTGCAGTAGGTCCCCTGTGTAGGGTTACCATATTTCAGCAAGCAAAAAAGAGGACGGGAGGAGCCCCGCCCTAGCCCCGCCCCTGCCCCTCCCACTTCCCACCTCCCCCAGAACCCCCAACCCTCCCCCCGTTCCTTGTCCCCTGACTGCCCCCTCCTGAG